TGAATTGTGGTGTCAGCAAAGAATATTGAATATACCATGGACTGCCAAAAGAACGAACAAATCTGTCTTGGAAGAAGCACAACCAGAATACTACTTAGAAGCAAGGATGGCAAGACTACATCTCACATACTTTGGACATGTTATCAGGAGGGATCAGTCCCTGGAGAAGGACATCATGCTTGGTAAAGTAGAAGATCAGCGAAAAAGAGGAGGACCCTCAATGAGATGGATTGACACAGTGGCTGCAACAATGGGCTCAAGCATAGCAACAATTGTGAGGATGGCGCAGGACCGGGCAGGGTTTCGTTCTGTTGTGCATGGGGTCACTATGAGCTGGACCTGACTCGACGGCACCTAACAGTCATTAAAAAGAATAAGGTACATTTGTAAATACTGACCATCGTGAGCTGGGTGAAAAAGCAAGTTGTGGGAAAATATGCATGGTATACTCTGCTTTTGTTAAGAGTGTATGTGCATCTTTGTGGGTGGAGGGAGCTGACATTGAGCTCACAAAGACATTGACAAAGCGGTGTGGGCAGCCCCGCCACGTGCATTGGAGCGGTGGCAGTGAAGGGGGCCAGTGGCCTTCATTGCTGTTTGCCCATCTGTATTTCTGGATTTGTGACACAAAACATCTATTACTTCTGCAGCTAAGAAAGCATTCAACAAAAAGAAAAGGCATCTGCAAAAGTGCAGGTGCACTGGGAGCACCTGGCCATCCCCAGGGTCCAGGCTGTGCCACCCCTTTCTGGCATGACTGGAAGTTGGCGCCCCACAGTCCTCCTACTTGGGAGATGTGTGGTTGCAGACCCCTGTGGGGCCCTGCAGTGCAGGATCTGAGCCCAGGATATCGGGCAGAGTGGGTGTTGGAGGAGGGGCTGTGTGCACCACCCTCAGAGGGGCCGGAACGTGCAGGATTCTCCCCACCAGGGAGCATCTCTCTCTCCCTGCACTCACGCCCCGTGGCGCCTATTCACATCCTCTTGAAGACCCTGGTGCCCAGCTGAGGGCAGCCCCAATCACAGCCTGTCCCAGGGATGGGGAGGGAGGGTGAGCCACTGAGCGCCGTGCCTGGTCCAGGTTCTTCCCTTGCCCTCAGGAGCTGCAGGATGTGGACTGTGGGACAGGAGGGGGGAGCAGAGAAGAGCAGCGCCCTACCTCCACCCCCTGCTTCAGCAGGCTCTCGAAGGACGGCCAGAACTCCTGCCGCAGGATCCGCTTCAGCTTCCGGGGCAGTGTCTCCCCTGGTTCCCGGGAGCCCTGAGTAGAGGGGCACAGGCAAGTCAGCCATGCTCTGCCCTGCCCAACCTGCATCCTCCCCAGCCCACGTCCACCCTGACCTGCTGTTAGGGTCCTAGGACCCGCCTCCACCAGCACTGCTTCCAGAGAAGTGACCCAGGTGCCACCGCCCCACACTCCACTCCACTTGGTAGGCTGGCTGCTTCATTTGTCCTCCTCAATCCCCATCTCTCTCCCTGCCTGCATGCTGGGCTCTTGGCCACCCGCCCGTGCACAGGCACCCGGCACCCCACCCATCTATGGAACTCCATTTGTTCCTCTCAGCTCCTGAAGGGCTCATGAGCTTCTCGAGGGCCTCACAGTCCTCAGTCACAGCTCGGACTGCCTGGGCCTCCCGGGCCTCCCGCTCTCGGCCTTCTCCAGCCTCTCTCCCCACTGCACACACACACACACCCCATGGGGCCTGTGCACACGCATAGTAAAGACCCTGGCGCCCAAATCAGAGCAGACAGGAGCCCAGCTCAGACCATGCATGAGCAGGAATGAGGTCGGCTGGTCAGGCACCTGCGTGGACAGGCCGGAACACAGGGAGTGGGGAAGGGCACTCCCACATGGTCCGTGTGCAGGAGGGGACCCCAGTGGGAGAGGGGCTGGTCTTCAGGGCCCTGTGACCAAGGGCTAGGGAAGCCCCTCTCTCAGCTTGGTGGGGGGCCATGTCTGCAGACACCAGGTGCTGCCCAGGGCAGGCGAATGGGCAAACGGATGGCAGCAGCTGGGCTTCACCCTGAACCTCGTCTAGCCCATGCCTGCCCCACTAACGTGTCCCAGCTCCACGGAACAGGTGCCTGGTGTTGGGTAACCACCACGGTGAGCCACAGGATTCTGGTAGAGCCTAAACTCCCAGAACAGGCGGAGGAGACGCCACCGCTCAGGACTGCCATCTCGGACGCGGACGGCTGGGCCATCTCGTCAAGTCCCCCAGACCATGGAGAGCCTATGCTGAGTCTTCAGTAAAGCTCTGCCTGGCGGGGCTGCAGGGGCTGATCTGGGAGCAAAGCATCAGCAGTTCGGAGTCACTTTCAACAGGAACAGCCCAGAACTTTCCGTGGCCTGATTCTGTTGTCTCCATAAGGCCTCTAGGGCCACACTCCAGCCCTCTGTCCCACCCCCTCCCCCAATCCTCCATGCCTGGCAATGTCCTCCTGTCTCTAGGGCTCAGCCCAGGCCCCAATGGTGGAATGGTGGAGAGAGAGAAGGTGTGTGCCCTGTGCCCAGGGCCCCTGGGGAAGGCCCTGTCTCCACCCCAACCTTCGGGCTCCTCCTGGGGACCCATTCTGCCTCCACTGGGCGTGGTATGCAACAGGTGCTCAGTAAGTGTTTATTCACCAAAAAGCACACCAGAAAGGAATCTGGACGTCTGTTTTCTCAAGTGTACAATGAGGAGCTGGACGGGACACAGCAGCTACTCCAGCCCTGGCTGTGATTCAGAATCTAGGATGAGGGCGTGCACGTCTCAGTGTTCCCAGTGTGGGACTGTCCTGCAGGGGGGTCTTCAGTAGAGGGTGGAGTGGACGAGGGAGCAAAAAAAGTGCCCAGGGACGGCGGAGCAGGCGGGCTGGCGGGCACTCACCCCGGGCAGCGCCCAGTGCTCCGACCATAAGTGCTTCACCACCAGCACCTCCAGCACCTTCTTGATGCTCTTCCTGCAGATGGCCCCGTCCTGGTTCCGCCGCCACCTGCAGGTGAGGAGCGCTCATCCCCCTGATGGCACCTCCACCCCCCACCGGCACCAGGAGAGGGCAGGGCTATGGCCCAGCTCCGCCTGCACCCTCCCTTCCCTGGGTGAGGGCTGTTAGACAGCTACCCACGCTGGCTCAACCCTTCTTTCTCTTCTCAGGACCCCAGTCCCAGGAAAGAACTGAGATAAAGCCACTTAGGCAACGCCCCTCCCACTCCCCAAAACTGCTGGTGGCATTAGAAAGTGATCCAGCCCTTTTGGAGAAATTTTTAAAATCAAAAGTCTTAAAGAAGCACATGCCCTCTGGCTCACTATCCTACTTCTGTGACTTTATGAAAATGCTGATGTGAGCCTACAGCATTGTGCACCCTGGCCCAGCGAGCACCCCTGGCAGCCCCCCAAGGACTTAGCACATGTCTGCACCCAGCGGGGAGGCAGCAGGACAAAGGCTGAGAGGGATGTGCAGGTGGCAAGGGAATTAAGGGCTGTGTGTGTGTGTGTGTGTGTGTGTGTGTGTGTGTGTAGGTGGATGTGTGGATATGTGTATGCATACGTGGATGGATGGATGTGTATGGGTGTGGATGTGTGGATATGTGCAGATGTGTGCACAATTTCTGTATGTGTACATATGTACGTGTTTGCGTGAATGTGTGTGTGTACATGTAGATGTGTGTATATGTACGTGTATATGTGGATGTGTGCAGATATATGTGGATGTTTAGGTGTGTGGATGTGTGTGTCCATGTGGGTGTGTGCATGCACTTGTGTGTATATATGTGTATGGATGTGTGTATATTTGTGGATGTGAATGTGTGTGGATGTGTGTGTACCTCCTGGAAGGATAAATTCCAAAATATTAGCATTGCTAGACAGTGGGGTTACATATATTTTTTATTTTCTCTCTCTCTCTTTTTTTTTTTATTTTCTGTAATTTTGTCTTTGGTCATGGGCCCTGGTAGTCGTTCCCTGCCCTCTCCCAGCAGGGCGCTCTAACAAGAGTCAGGGGTCTGGCTTTCTCCCAGGCAGGTGAGGGGTGTGGACATTCCCACCTATGCATCGGCGTTTGTCTAGGTTCGCCCAGATCCACCCGACAAATACATGCCCGAGATGTGTACCCGGTGCAGGAATTGCTCTCTCAGCACCCTCTAGAGAGCCTGAGAAGAGTCCTGAGTGGTGCCTGGTGCTGGCTGGTGGGGACTCACCGGGTGACGACTGGGTGCAGTGCGTGGTTGGGTCCGAAGCAGCTGAGGCTCCCGCACCCACGCAGCCCCGTGCGGCCCATGGGGTTCCTAGGCGAAGAATGGTTGGCTTAGCCTGCCCCGATGAAGGAGAACAGGCAAGGCAGGGAGGACAGCCTGGAAGGGATGGTGGACCTGGGCAGGCTTGAGCTCCCCCTCCCAGCCCCAGCCCCTCATGCCTCACGCTGACCACTCCTCCCCACCAGGACTTCCAGCCTGGTGACCCTGCTCACTCACTGCACCCCTCCTTGCAGCCTCAGCTCCATGGCCCCCCACCATGATTTCCAACTCGCCCCCTCCCTTCATGTCACTCACTGCCTGGCAAACCCATCCCTGGGACACGTCTAAAAGCAAGCTCAGCCTTCCAGTTTATGACAGGAGAGTGAAGCCAGACTCTAAAACTTCTGTTCCATAAAATCTAATACGACAAACCAGAAGTGGTAGAAACCAGTGACATTCCACCAGAGCCTTTTATGCAGAAATGGAAAAGCAGATTCTCAAAGTCCACATGGATTTGCAAAGGGCCCTGAACAGCCTGTCATGCATTGAATTGTGTCCCCCAAAAATATCTGTCAACTTGTCTCTGTCATGTTTCCCAGTATTGTATAATTGTGTACCATTTTGTAATCTGATGTGATTTCCTTATGTGTTGTAAATTCAATCATTATGATGTAATAAGATGGATTAATGGCGGTTATACTGATGAGGTCTACAAGATTAGATAGTGTCTTAAGCCAATCTCTTTTGAGATATAAAAGAGAGAAGCGAGCAGAGACACATGGGAACCTCATACCATCAAGAAAGCAGTGCTAGGAAGAGAGTGCATCCTTTGGACCTGAGGTTCCTGTGCTGAGATGCTCCCAGACCAAGGGAAGACTGATGACACGGACCTTCCTACAGAGCTGACAGAGAAGAGCAACCCTTCCCCTGGAGCTGATGCCCTGAATTTGGACTTGAAGCCTACTGGACTGTAAGAGAATAAACTTCTCTTTGTCCAAGCCATCCACTTGTGGTATTTTTGTTACAGCAGCACCAGATGACTAAGACACAGCCAAAACAATCTTGAAAAAGAACAAAATAGGACTCCCACTTCCTGACTTTAAAATGTACTATGAAGCACAGTAATTATAGTACATTTTGGTACTGGTATAAGGACAGACATACAGACCAATACATTGAGAGTCCAGAACTAAACCCACATACCTATGGCCAACTGATTTTCGACAAGGGAAGGGTGCCAAGTCCATTCAATGGGGAAAGAATAGTCTTTTTAACAAATGGTGGAAGGGCACCTGGATTTCCACTTGTAGAAGAATAAAGTTGGACTCTTACCTCATACCATATTACCACATATGAAAAGTAACTCAAAATGAATCAGCGGCCTAAATATAAGAGCTAAAACCATAAAACCCTTAGAAGAAAGCATAGAGGTAAATCTTGTATATGGCAATGGAGTCTTAGATATATACACCAAAAGCTTGAGCAACAAAAGAAAAAATAGATAAACTGGACTTCATCAAAATAAAAAAAAAAAACTTTTGTACATCAAAAACCCATTGCTGCTCAGTCGATTCTGACTCATAACGACCCTATAGGACAGAGTGTAACTGCCCTATAGGGTCTCCAAAGATCGACTGGTAGATTTGAACTGCTGACCTTTTAGTTAGCAGCTGAACCCTTAACCACTGTGCAACCAGTGCTCCAAAAGTGAAAAGACAGCCTGCAGAATGGTAAAAATATTTGGAAATCATATAACTGATAAAAAACAAACCAAACCAAACCTGTTGCCATTGAGTCAAGTCCAACTTACAGCGACCCTACAGGACAGAGTAGAACTGCCCCATACAGTTTCCAAGGAGCACCTGGTGGATTCAAACTGCCAACCTTTTGGTTAGCAGCCATAGCTCTTAACCACTACGCCACCAGGGTTTCCATATAACTGGTGAGGGTTGAATATTCAGAATATATACAGAACTCCTACAACTCAACAACAAAAAGAAAAACAACCCCGTCAAAAAATTGGAAAAGGAACTTCAGTAGATGTTTCTCCAAAGAAGATACACAATCGGCCAATATGAAAAGATGTTCAGCATCGTTAGTCATTAGGGCAATGCAATCAAAACCACAATGAGATACCACTTCACACCCACAAGGCTGGCTATTATCAGAAAAATGAAAAATAACAAGTGTTGGTGAGCATGTGCAGAAATTAGAACCCTTGCCCATTGCTGGTGGAAATGTAAAATGGTGCAGCTGCTCTGGAAAACAGGCAGTTCCTCAAAAAGTTAAACACAGAATTACCATGTGATCCAATAACTCCACTAGTGGGCATATATCCAAAAGAACTGAAATCGGGAACTCAAACAGATACTTGTATACCAATGTTCATTGCAGCATTTATACAATAACCAAAGGGTGGAAACAAGGCAAGTATCCATCAACAAATGAATGGGTGAACAAAATGTCGTGTCTACATACAGCGGAATATTACCTCACCATAAAAAAGAATGAAGTTCTGATCTATGCTACCACATGAGGGAACCTGGAAAACATTATACTGAGTGAAATAAGCCAGACACAAAAAGACAAATATTGTATAATCCCACTTGTGTGAAATGTCTAGAGAGAATAAATGCATCAAGACATAGACTGGTGGTCCCGTGGGCTTGGGGGCAGAGGGGAATGGGAGGTTATTGCTTAGTGGATACAGGGTGTCTATTTGGGGTGATAAACATCTGGAAACAAACAGCAGTGACGCTCGTACGACACTGAGAGTATGATTAACGCCACTGGATTGTACATTTAAGGAGGGTTAAAATGGTAAATTCTGTGCTGTGTATATTTTACCACGATAAAAAAATAGGGTATGGGAAAAAAGAGAGAATGGGAGAAAAACTGGAGCAAAGACGACTCATTCCAGGAGCTGTCCCCTAAAAGGGCCCAAAGAAGTGGGCCAACCATGACGGGAAGGGATGCAGGGCAAAGGGAAGGAGAGTTGGTTTAAAGATGGAATGATCACGGCACGTGATGCTGACGGGAACAGTTCAAGAGAGCAGAAAACTGATGACGTAGGAAAAGGAAGGAGAAGTCGGCAGGAGACGCGACCTGATGTGTGGGTCAGGGGCAGGAGGAGGGATCCAGCGGGAGGAGGGGCAGGAGGTGGGATCCGGTGGCAGGGAGGGGCTGGCCTTAGGAGTGTGGACATTCACTCCTGTAGCAGAAAAGTCGTCACAGTGCGTGACTCAGAAGATTCGCATTGGCAGGGAGAGCAGGGAGGAGCTGCACTGCAGTCCAGGGGAGAGATGACAGGAGCTCAGGTCCTGGTGGGTGGTGGGCCACTGAGGACATTTCAGTCAATTTCAAGAATCAGTGCAATGCAGATCACACTCTGACATAAATGCAATATAAAGAGAAAGCAACAACAATATAAAATGGCTTAAACACTAAAAAATGCATTTTTAAATCATCTGAAAGCTAAAAAGAAAATTATAATGAAATCTATCAACCAAAAAGTGAAAGCCCTATATGTCAAAACTTAAGGAATTCCACCTCCCAGCTCTTAGAAAGAACTTTCTAGTGTTAGGTACCTTTATTAGAAAACCAGGAAGATGGAAAAGAAGTTAGCTGTAGCATTCAAATCAAGAGAAAATGCAAAAGAGAAGGGAGGGAGGAAGGGAGGGAAGGAGGAAGGGAGGGCGGGAGGAAGGAAGACAATAAAAGCAAAAATTGACAAAACAGAAGCAAAATCACAACAATCAACAAAACCAAAAACTGAAAAGTTTATAAAATTAACCTCTGGCAAGAGTAATCGAGGAAAATAAGAGACACACATAATAAATACCAATGTTCAAAAGAGAAAAACTACTGTATATTTATATTAGAGATTTTTTAAAAAAATTTAATTTGAGCACCGGTAACACAATATATTGAAAAAGCTAGATGAAATGGATAGTTTTCTAGAAAATCACAATTACCAAAAGGGACCTAAGAAGAAACAGAAAACCTGATTCCACAAACAATTAGCTAATATGAAGTAGTTGAAAATCCACCCACTGAAAAGGTGCGAGACCCAAATGTTTTACAGGTATTATCAGACTTTCAAGGAACAGATGATCTTTACCTCATTCAAGCAGTTCCAAAGAAAGAAGCTACCCAGCTTATTCCATGAAGCTGGTGTAACATTGTACTAAAACCAGATAAAGACAGAACAAGGGAACATAAATTATAGGCAAATGTGACTTTTGAACACATACAAAATTCCTAAATAAAACAGTAAATTAACTCCAACAGTATATTAAATGTAACCGAAGGGTTTATCCCAGGAGTTCAAGGATGGCTCAACACTAGAGAATCTATAAATACAATGCACGCATAGTTATGGATTGAATTGTGTCCCCCCAAAAAGATACTGATTAGGTTAATGTGGAGACATATCATATAATTATCTCAACTGGTGGCAGAAAAAGCATTTGATAACATTTGACAAATATGCAAGATAAAAACTCCCAGCAAACTGGGACCAGAACATTCCTACACTGATAAAAAGTATTTATAAAAAAAAAACTTTAGCAAATATCATACTTAATGGTGAAACATTGAAAGCATTTTCATTAAGTCGGAGGCAAGACATGAAAGTCTGCTAATACTACCAATATTCAACATTCTACTGAAGATTTTACCCCACACAATAAGGCAAGAAAAAGGAACGAGACATAATGATTGCAAAGGGAAAGACAAAATTGTTATTTGCAGATTATATGATCATCGAAAATCCAAGAAAATGTACAAAATTATATAACTCATAAGGAAGTTTAGTAAAGTTGCTGGATAAAAAGTCAGCATACAATATCAGTAACCTTCTATGTTCCTAAAAAGCAAATTTGAAAATATAATAGAAAAAATATACCATTCACAGTAATAACAAAAATTTATAAAGTATCTAGAAATAAATCTTAAAAAAAAAAGAAAAGAGCAAGTCCTTTATGAAGAAAATTACAAAACTTTAAGGAAGGCCCAAATAAAATAGTAACGAACACATTCACCAAAGATTCATTATTGTGTGTCGGTTCTCCCCAAATTTTTCTATACATTCAATAAAATTCCTATCAACAGCCCAAAAGGGTTTGTATAGAACCAGACAAACTGATTTTTAACCTCATAGAAAAACTAAAGGTGAAGACTAGGAAAGACAAGGTTGAAGATCATGCCTAAACAGGAATCAAAATGATGGCAAATAAAGCGTGTGACCCTGTCCAGAAATGAGTGGAACAGGCCAAGTCAGAGGCGAATACCTTCAGGCTTTGGTACGCCTCAGAGAAGGAACCTCGAGTGGTAAGGGATCGTGGAGGGAAGGGTCGGAACAATTTACTCTTCATTTGGGGACATAAAATAAAATGATATCCCTCTTCACATCTTACACAAGCAACTTCGAGATGTATTAAAGACCCAAATGAAAAAAGCCTAATTTTAAAATTTATTAAAAGAAAATAGAAAGGTGTGTCTTTATGATTTTATAATAGGAAATTATACCTAGGAAAAATATAATAAAAATAGAATTCATAAATAAACTATATAAAAATGTTGACTGTATAAAAAGCTTTTTTTACTCTATTGAAGTCCGATTGGTCCTTCTCCCTGCCTCACATGGCTCACACCTGCCCACTCCCCTACCACCGTCACTTAGAGCAGGTTGTCACTGCCTCTTCAGTCCCACCAGGCTCCTGCACTGGGCACCTGCAGGTCTCTCTGCTTGGCCCTCTCTCCTCATTGTTCTTCATACAGCAACCAGATTCACCTTCCTAAACACCACCTTGCCCCACGGCTTCGGAGCATCCAGAGCTAAAAGTCTGGGGCTGAGGCCACTCCTGGCCTGGTCTTCATCTTCACCCCCACACATCTCCATTGTCTCCTTACACAACTACCGCTTCTTGTTGCAGAGCATTTCCCGAAAGGCCCACCACCCTCACCTCCCTCCTGCTCTGGGTTGCTCCTCAGGCCACCACACCCAGCAGTCCTGCTCTCCTCTGAATTCTGACGGCCCCTTCAACCAGCCCCTGGTGCCAGGCCTCCCATTACACCCTGAGCTCCTCCAAGCAGGGAAAGGTCCTTCACCTCCTTGAACTCCCAGAGTCTACCACACATAGGAGTTCAACAAATGCCCATTGGGCGTGACTGCTACAAGCCATTGACCCCTTCATGCTTGGTTCTCCTCCCCTGTAAAATGCAGTGCGACGCCGATCCACAAGGATAACATGACAGAGGAGAAGCACAGCCATGCCTTGAACGTAGCAATAACCATCCCTCCCCTGGGGCCACACTTCCCGCTACATGGCGCTTTCACCTAATGTCATTTTCACAGAACTGTTGAGTTGGTGAGCACAGACATCCCCATGTTACTGAGGTCCGAATTGAAGTCCAAGAAGGTTAATCAGGACTGAGGGACACAGCATGGCCTGAGGCCCAGCTGGGACAGCCACTGCCCCCCCATCTCCCCTCACCATCAGCTGGGAGAGTGTAAAAGATGACTCAGAGTAGGGATGCTGAGCTAATGCTTCCAGTGGACGTGGGAAACCAGACCTCAGGAGGAAAACCCCAAAGGCACAGCCCCACCAGGAATGCCTGGGCCGCTGCACTCACAAGGGGAGGCCGTCACAGACTGTGTAGGGGCCATGGAAGCTCCGGCGGTCCACCAGCCCATCCACGGTGTTGTAACTGATCTTGGACAGCAGCTCCAGGGAGCTGGAAACAGAGAGAAGACCCAGCCTGTGACCAGCAGACCCCAAGCAGTGGCACTTTGAGGACATGTGGAGGGGCCCAGGCGAGGAGACTTCGCTCCGAGTTCCCTGGGCAGCCTGCGTGACTGCCCCTGAGGCCGGCCCTCAAAGCAGATCCCCAGGGCCACAGGCCCAGAGTGGCCTGCAGCTAGCTCAGCGACCAGCCTCTTAGCGGGTTCACACAGCCTCATCCCAGGACCCGCACGGCCTCTCCTGATCCCAGGACCCACTCGGCCTCTCCTCACCCCAGGACCCACTCAGCCTCTCCTCACCCCAGGACCCAAACGGCTTCTCCTCGCCCCAGGACCCACACGGCCTCTCCTCACCCCGGGACCCACACGGCCTCTCCTCACCCC